GCTCAACACCTCTACAAATATATGTGCCTTGATGGTGCAGGTCTTGCTTTTGTATTAACAATCCCTCTCTTGCTTCCAAGCTCTTCTGTATTCTCTCCAAATAATAGGATATTCATCCTATGCTATCCCAGTTCACCAAGGCACTGAATTTTTTTTCACTCAGTATACTCTCCATAGCCACTTCCATGAGGCTCACAGAAGCAAACTTAGAATTTATAGAAATAGCATTACAGTATCCCCAAATATGGATGTAGGTTATTATTAGGTACCCATGTTTGAAAGCACTGGCTGTAGATACGAGTCAACATGGATTTGTGAAATCATGTCAGACAAATCTGATTGCTCTGTAATGAAAAAATCTACTGCTCCAGAATCCAAATTATAACCAATTAAATATTTAGCATATTTCAACATAACCCACAAAGCATAAACAAACAGAAACAAGCTCTATGGTGCATTTCAATCTTAAGAGGTCAAATAAGGGCTAAGTTTGAGGTCTGGAACAAACACAGATTCTCAGTGGAGCCAGCTTTGTGAAGTAAGGTAATATCTTTTATTGGGCTAGTTTGTAGATTTGAGAGAGACAGGAGTTCAACTTTTTGGGCTTCAGAAGGGTGCTTGAACCCTGAACATTTGTATCCCAAAATACAAACTGATTTAATATAAGTGGGGGCAAACTCAGGGAGGGGTGGGCCATATTGGTGCACTTGCATTCCCCTTTGGTTCCTGGTCCACCCAAAATTTAAAATTAACTGCCTAGTAGTGGCAGCACGTCAAGCAGGCAGCATTTTAAGGCACGCATTTGACTTCATAGCTCATTATAATCTTCTTGATCCCTTCTAAATTCTTCAATCCACCGGTGTTAATGACCCTCTCTTTTTTAATAGTCTTGATGTTCCACCAATCAAGCCATCCTTTGTTCTGCAGTTCTGCTGTCTGCTAGCTGCTCCTGGTAACGAAGCTCCTCTCTCATAGTCTTGCAGATTGTTTTTAACTTATTCCAATGAAGTTATATTTGTTTTTGCTTCCAGCTTAAACTGAATAATATAACCCTAGTATTAGTAAAGCTTCTATTTTATTTTTAACTGCAAAAAATGTGTGTTGACGCACCTCCACATCTGTACGCTCCTCTTTCAAAATTCTAGATCCATCCATGAATACTTTATCCCACAAATCTTGCTGCTCTCAGATCCCTGAACTTTCATGGTAATGATGCAGTATAAGATTCTTTGCTACTTATGTCATAGATGGAGTATAACTGAGATGGGGAGACTTTTCCACCCTGATACTGAACAACATTGGAAGCCAGGCAGTTTGCAAAGGCTATTGGGATTGAAAAGGGTAAGAGGAAGTGTTTCTTAGAGCACAACTGGAAAGTCTGTGAAGATTTACTATTAATTTTAGGTGCTGGAATTTATCATTGTATGGTATACTGTGCATGATAGAAGAGGTATACATATGGAAGGGCATTTTGGAACAGTTGAAATAAGCCCATCCCACATGCAGGAATTTTTTTTCCCATTTCTTTCGCTGAACATAGTTTGATTCATATCCTCTTGAAAACAATACTTCTGTTAGGAAAAGAACCCTGTCTAATTATTTTGTAGTAATTAGCTTATAATTGTTGCTAATAGAGCTCAGTGAATAATGGAAGAAGGGTTGCCGTCTATTGTAGTTCTTAAAAACATTATCTGTGCTCTTGGTTTTATCCCCAGGTGGCTTATTTTCACTGGAGATTTGAGAAACTAAACTGAAGTAGCCAAATTATTCAGAAAAGGTGATTTTCAAACTTGCACAGGTGATCATTCACATAACTGATTTTAAAACAGCCAAACGTTGCTTACCAGATGCCTGTGTCCTTAGCCACATCTGCACGTGACTTCATCTGTAACTATAGTGCCACTACTCACACTTTGAATGTCTGTAATCAAACCCCATCACATGCAGTCAAAAAGATACTTGTCTAATACATTTGAATAGTGAAAAACTTTTCTGAAATCTTAATCCGGAGGCTTCTCAACAAGCAATAAAAATGAGGCTAAATTTAGTGAATAAATAATTTCTAACTAAATATTTAGTCAGCTCTAAATAGTTCCCTGACATTTTGGTAGAATTCTTAGCATCATTTCTGGAGCTAAAATATGCTATTGAAGTAGCCCATCTGACTTGTTGGATTTACTGTATACATACCGTATGTTGGCATAGGCAAGAGTCAAACCTGACTTGTGCTTGCCACACAGCCCATTTACTTGCTGAGCCAAAAAGACTCGTTCCATAAATAAGCTAAGCTTGAACTATATTATTACAACACTTTTATATTCTGAAAGTTTCTTTTTACATATCTTGTACTTGGCTACAGCATTTATCAGTCATAAGAGGGTATATAATCCACTTCTTCATTGGTCAATTAACAGTTAGGGAAAACAATAAAGCCCAGTTATGAAGACATTTCAGCAACTGCTAGTAAAAATAGCTTTAGTAACAGCTGTTCATTAAAAAGTTTAAAGAATTTAGTTCCATAACCATCTTCTCCTGAGACCCTGCTAGAGTTCAAAGAGAATATTGACCTGTGTAACTTTGCTAATATGATTTCTTTCTCTAATACCTCCAGGATCAGTGGCAGTAAGAGTTCAATTTAATGTCATTGAAGATATGGAAGAGTGCAAAGTGATTAAATTTAGAAGAATATAAATCCCTTTTGGAAGCTAAAAAATATGATTATTAGTTATTAGATCTGTACATTAATTAGTAATAACTTTAATTCTTATATTCTACTAACCTTCTTTGATGACCCATTCAAACCACAGTCCATTTTCCATAATAACTTAAACTGTGCACAAAACATTTTGAAGTCACTCTTTTTCTATGTAACCTTTTGAGTCTTCGGACTTTGATCGCATGCCCTATATGTAGCTTTTTGCAAGTACTTTCATCAGCAGAATTTCAAGAAACTTTGAATACCATAAATTTAAGCACTAGGGGACATATTAAGCTCTTTCAGTGATGTTCATCTAACTTACTGGCTCTTTTACCAAAATGGTTCTGAGAATGGGAAAATGGCAATAACATGCAGCACTTTATATTTTGTGTGTGACTACTGAAGGCTTTTAATCCTTCATCGTAGAGAGATGATACACAAGTTGATACACTTTTCTATATATTGTGTGTTTTCAGAATTGCTGTGTTTTTATTTTATTAATATACACACACAAATCTTGTGTGTGTGTGTGTGTGTGTGTGTGTGTGTGTGTATGTATGTGTGTGCACATGTGTGCATGTGTGCATGCATTTGCAAATTAACCAGGCCAATTAATTAAAAACAAAATGTTTATCTAGCATGGTAAAATGTGTGGTAAAACAACAGTAACTACCTTCTTCAGAGTCCTTATTTCTATCTACTCTAAAGTTTCCCCTAAGAAAAGTCAAGTGTTGGATGATGTGCAGTGTTGGTGAATGCTAACAGCAAACAAGTAAATTTAGTAATTTGAGAAGGGGTCTAGAAAGCAGCAAGTTGTATGCTTCACACTCCGGGATTCCCTGTTTAACATCTACACAGTGGAATTGGGATAGCAATTATGAATATCTAGACCAAACAGAGGCTTCATTAATGCTTGTATAATATTTGGACACATTTAGAACATGATGGACAAATGTTCAATACGACAATATCCTTGAAAGAAAGCGCTATAGGAAAAAAACCTCAATGTGACTAATTGCACTTCTTAACTTTTTCAAACTCTGAACCACTCTCCTAGTGTAAGGCACCAATCCTTCATCCCCAAAATATTCAGTTCCGTGTGCGCTGTGCAAGGCATCTAGATGAATTGCCATAGACAATGTGCAATGAATAATGGATATCCCCAGACACCATTTTGACAGACACAAAATATGAGTTTTGTGATTGCCATTACATTTAAACACTGGGGCCACCGGTTATTCCCTGGGGTCACCTCAGGGAATAAAATTACTAAGTTCTCTGTAAAGTGGGGAGCTATATCCAGTGAGCAAAGTACTGATTAGTACTTAGAGGTGGAGGTTTAATAACGTCTGCTGCTTGACATAGCCACTTAATTAAGAAAACCTGGCCCTGCCTAATGAAGATATCATTTTCTGGATATGATCAGTGTAGAAAAAAAATGTAAACCAATCAGTGACTCAAATAAATAAATGCATGATCTGCAGTTTAATGGGTAAATTAGATGTTCTAAACTCTGCAGTAAAAACGCTTTTATATCCTCTTTTGCCCAATGCTGTTATCATTTTCTCTCATTGTTTTATAAAGGCCAGGAACCGCATGAATTAGCAATAACTTTGTGCACAGTAAGAGTGAGTGTATGTGCTCATTAAAGCTGGCTTGAGATGAAGTAAGAACTACATTCACAGACTATCATTTTCAAAGTTATTAAAATGAAATTCCACCTGTATTATAAGTGCAACCATACTCTGGTATCAGGTTTATAAAGCTTCCTTTGACATCCATGCTTCAAAACAACACCTTTACAATCTGCTCACAGAAACATAACTGAGGCCAAGCCAAGACTGAGACTTGGGTAGCTTCCAGTGAGGCAACCTGAATATTAAACGTTGTGTGAATTGGCACAAGCCATGTTATGGCAAAAAGTGTGTCTTTATTCCATTTGCATCTTGTGTAGACATGCCTGAGATAGATTTAGGCTCAACATTGGCTGTAAAACCTGCCAAGGCTTCTGAATAAATAATCAGGCAGCTATTCTGGGCTGAGTCCCACGATGCTACAGCCATGTTTGTCAGAACTGGAGCCAGCTAGTTTAAAGCTATCCTGGGTAAGTTTAGATGAGCTGCAGTCGCACCTCTGGCTGGCCGTTAAATGCACTTTTAGTGGTTTCATGTTTCATATGTAGACAGAATATTAGTGATTCTATGATAGACTTCAAAAATGCCCCGAAACTATAACAATCCAAAAAGGACTTGTGTCCTTAAAAATCCCTAAGGAACCACAACAACAAACCCAAAATACCTACCCAAATTTTCAATGGAATAATAACGCTGTTTGCTGTCCACTCGCACTGTCTCAGCATACGGGCTGCCCACTCCATAGCCAATGATGTATCCACGTACAACAATGTTTGGGTTCAGTGGCGGAGTCCAACTCATGACGATACTGTTTATCAATGGCCTGACATGAAGAGAGCTTGGCTGATCAGGAACCTGAGATTCTAGGATTCAAAGAAAAGATGGGTTAATAATTTGCTCACTGAATTTTACCATTCACAAAGGCAGAGGTTCCATTAAGTCCTTCATCATACGAAAATAACCAGACACCCTGCTGTTACATGCATAGTCTACACACAATTTCACTTTTAAACATTGCTTTTTTTAACTGTACTCTTTATCAACAAGAATGTTTTGAAGCATCTTAAAAAAAAAGGAAAATCCCCACATTCTTTCAACTTGAGCATCTGAGTTCAAAAAGTTTGGAATTAGACAGGAAAGTGGGAAATGAAATTATTTACAACTCATAAAACGTTTCCCACAGGAAAGCTTTTGGCTTCTTTGGTTTATTTGCAAGTTGAATAATGCAATGGCAATTGACTGGATGATTGATTGTGGGTCTGTGGATTAACTACAGCATTTAACAAACTGGTCAACTTTGTTAATGGTATAATAGCATTTCCTAGCAATGACCTCTCTCTTGCCCATGAAAAATGTAACGGTAATTATGAACAAGCAAGCTTTAGTTATCTTGGACCTGTTAGTCTTGGCTTGGAGGCTGCTTTGAATAATACAAGAAATTAAAATAAAATAACAGAATGACATCTTTTATTTACAGGTTCTCTCAAGGCATATTCATTTTTTTATGTAAGACTTAATGACTTGATGCCTAATCAACCGACATTGTCTCCTGTCAATCCACTTTAATTTAAAAGAATAGATGAATAAAATGTCTTTGGTTGGAGTTTGCCTGTTAGCTACCATATCACAAGTCACTTTAGAAGAGCAGCACAGCATCTTGTCTTTTTGAGAGCAGAAAGAGACAAGCTACTATTTTCCCCCAATAAAGAGGCTTGTAATATAATAGGTAGTCACTGGTGGGTGGAAAGTGGAAGTAACACAAAATGCTGATGTAAACGCCAACAAAAGACATTTTGAGATTGTGAAGCATTCCCACTATAAACCTTGGAAAAGGCGATAAAAAAATTAATACTTTTCAGTTTGACTGTTATATATGGTACAATGGTGTCCTTCATATTTTATGTGCTTTGAAATTACTCTGTTGAACACATTTAAAGAATTCTGGAGATCTGTTGAATCTACAGGAAGGTCTGATTAGTATATTACCTGCCGTTATACTTAGCCACTTTTGAAACTCCTTTGAATTTAATACTTTTAGAGTTGCTACACATCTATACTTAAATAATGAAGGAAATGCATTGAAGAGTAGCTACTTATAAAAGATAACTCAGGTTATACCAGTAAATACAATTGCCTTTCATCTCCCTCCCACTTCCATAATTTGTTTCAAGGTGGAACATAGTTACTTGCATGACTGTCTTTGAAGAGTGAGTTTTAAAGAAAAATTTAAAAAAACCCTATTTCTTACACGAATTAAAGATATTAGTGCCTTGATATAGGACATTACAGAATGAGGCGATAGTAGAATTCCTTGCATATGCTAGAAGTGGTAATACTCTAGGGAGCCAGTAAAATTAAAGCATTCAGAAATTGATTTCAAGTGATAATTTTTACACTTCATTTTCAAAATACATGGCCATTTCAATGCCATAGTGGACACCTTTAGGTAGCTCTTGGTTTCAAACTATTTTATTCTGATATTCCAAACTGTTCACATAGAGAAATGACAAGATGTGATTCATACAATTTGTACAAGGCTGTCATTCATCTCCTGGTACAAAAAAAACACAAACAAAAAAACCCAGAATACAAGGAATTTATCCTTCTTGCAAAATACACAGCTGAAATGAAGATAAGTGAACTAAACAGGCAAACACAGAGAATTACAGGAGCAAAATGCATCTTAGAGAAAAGACCAGAAACTGATAACACTGAAAATCTTGTCTTCTTCCTGTTTTCGGAGTACGTTTTTTGACTTTTTTTTACTAAATACACTTAGCTTTCCTTTGTGTATTTTGCATTCTAGTATACATTATAACATTTTTACAGAAAATAAAACTGGTCATTTTTAATCATATCAATATTAAATATTTTGCTCCAAAAAATTAACTTTTTCTGAGATTTCTCCTGTACATACACTTTATGCCCAGCTCTCCTACCATCTGTCTGGCTTTGAACAAGATGTTGAAAGAATTTTTAAATCCTGTCCTATGTATAGGTTTTCAAATCTGTTCGTAAAACACCTCCATTCTACTTCTAGTTTGTTGGTGACACTGTCACAACCAAGACTGCAGTCTCCTTCCCGCTTATGCCAGGTTTGATCCCATAGTAAATATGACATCTCTTTTCCTGCTAGTCAAGGGCAATTTTTTCCCAAAAAAGGACAACAGATATTGAAGTCAATCAAAATCTCATACAAGTATCCAAATGAAAATCTGTTTCATAAGTGTTTTTACAGGTTTTTTGCCTGTCTTTTAACACTCCATGTTGCCTTGACACAGTCCATTGACTCTACCCCACTACACACATTTAGTGAGATCTGGATTTCCCATGAAATGGAAACACATAGTTTAGTCTCATTATCTGATGTGCTGTCTTCTTTTAGAAACCTGATTTTTTGTATTTCATCCTTAATCCATAACTCTGATTGTATGCAATAGACTGAACAACCACATCTTTCATTAAAGTTTAAAAGCTGTTAATTTGCCAGTGTTATCTGAAAACACTGAGAAAGTGTTTATATTTGGGTCACCTAAGCCATTTTCTTAGAGGTTTCTTTGAGGCTCACATTTGTATACTTTACAGATTAAAGTAAAGATTTTTTTTTGTACTATCTTTTTCTTCATGTGGTTCCTTAATCAATTTTCAGCAAAAACTACAATGCAATACAAGCTTAGCTTGTCATGCTCTTAAAACACTAATTTAGAGCTGAAGTTAAACTACACCACTATCTAATATGTAAAACAGTTCCCATCTGTTCAAGGCAGTAAGCAGAAACCAAGCATCCTAAACCCATTTTCCTGGAGGATACCTTTGCAAACTTGATCAGAGATTCTCTTGCATCCTTGTTATTTAAATCAGACCCTTTGGGGAAACCATGTTTCCAATTTTTTTTTTTTAAGAACAAAATTTGAGGCTCAAAATAAATATTTAAAAACTTCCCAGCTGTCAGTAAAGACATACAAGCTTTCTAGGGAACCTTGAAGAAGCAGTGATGTTTGGATTTCTAATCACTTTAACAAAACACACTAATTAAAAGGAACATCCATAGGGAGTTAGTGTAGTTCTCTAAGATACTGTTTGTCTTCATGTTGCTTATGCCAAACAGACATACAGTGGAAGGAAGAGAAACTGCATTAGCCATAAGAGTAGAAAGGGAATTACAGTTAACAATCTGTGCAAAAGCACTTCTCCTATTTAGCTGACACTTGCAGGACTCCACATATCCACAGTAATACATAGATTTCTCCCCAGGGTTTATGAAGGTATCTCATATAAATATAATGTGTGTGTGTGTGTGTGTGTGTGTGTGTGTGTGTGTGTGCGTGCGTGCATGTATAAAACACACAGTGCATTCAAAGTGTTATATTGTATCGGTTTCACTATAAGTTTTCCTTGTTACTCAAAATGCAAATACATGCAAATACAATAGATGTTAAAAAAAAAAGGCTTTGGTATAATTTATCAACGAGCTTTTAGTTGCATTGCATGTCTCTTGCGATTATGCTGAGAACATGTTTGCATGCAAAAATATATTCGGAGGAAAAAAAACATACTTAAAAGTTAGTGTGGATTAAATACAGTTAAAAACAAATATATTTAAACAAATGCATTGTCTTTCATTTTGCAGTATAAAAGAATGAAGACAAGGAATGTACTTGCCTCGTTTTCATGTGCACATGACATGTTGAGGTGTTCAGATTTTGTCATTATCTTTTTTTTTTCCTTACTTACTAACATCTATTTCCAAGTGAATGACCAGGTGCTCTCATCTTGGGTAATACCATTTCTGAAATTACTGTCCACCCAAAATAGTCGTTAGTAGAATGACATCATGCACCATAGCATATTGCAATCAGCCAATATAGTCATATTGCTTTCAAAATCATCATTATTTCTTGCCAAGTGTTCAGTTGCACCTATATCATGTACAATGTTTTAAGTGCCAAGAAAACCAAGTAATGTGATTCCTGCCCTTCATAAAAAGGACCGCTTCATGCTAGAGAGACCCTTAGGCAGAAAGGAATGCTCAAAGTGAGGGTTGATTGTGCGATTCCAAAAAAAAAAAAAAACCCCTAAAAAACATTCATTCAGAAACAAGCAAACAGAAAAACAAAACCAAGCCAACATGACATCCCTTGTTGCATTTTAACAAGAAGCCTATGTTCGCTGTTGTCCATTTTTCTTTGTTTCCTTTTAAGTGCGATAGTTCATTTTTTCCCCTGAGTTTCAGTTTCCCCATATGGATCTCATATATATTTTCTTCTTAACAATTCTCTATAGCTTTCTCCTGATTTCCATCTGCCATTTTCTTTGTACTTTACTTTAAAGTGTGGGCTGATCTTTCATTACTTTCCCTTTTTTTCTTTTAATTCTTCTAATGTCTCAGCAATTGTATATCTTTTTGCATTCAGTTCCTCTTTTCTGTGATAACAACATCTGCATCAAATTTCACATATTTCATATGCTTGGATGCTATTATCTTTAATTCTTTGTTTTCACTGCCACACTGAAATACTGACACTTGCAGTTATATGCTCCACGGGCAATAACCTTCTAGACACTTGAAGACTCACTTGTGGATAGTTAAATTTGTCAGTTGTATTCTGAGTGTTTCTTTGACTGATTACGTTTATTGTTCATGATGCTATTGATGTATATCATAATATTATTTTTAAAAATAGCCATGACATGAACGAATCACATTTTATTAGATAGTCATTATAACAAAGACTTTTGACTTTTTATTGGTGGTGATATTAGAGGCAAAGGGTTATATGAAACTCCACTAAGTGAAAGATGTCAATTGTTTGTGGATTATTATCTAAGATTTCATTGTCGTTGCTTGCTACAACAATGCTACAACAATGGCAGCTACAGCAAGCTACAAGCTACAGCAAGAACTACAAGGAAGAGAGAGACTAACAGAGAGTTATGAGAGCTCCAGCATAAACAAGGGGAAAGAAATGAAGCTGTCTTGTCTTCTCTCTTCTTCACTTGCTCAGAAAAGCATGCAATCTTAATGACATGGAGCACTGAGCTCTTCTGTTCAAAAACACCCAGACAACAGCTCCTGTTACATTCATCATTGGGATCTAACCCCTGACCTCCACAGCATCCTCAGCTAAAGCTTTGGATGACAATTAGAATGACATCTGTCAGATAAAAACGAGAATGAAGTGGTGATAATGACTGTGAAAAGAGATCTATTTACCATCAAGATCATTCTCTGGAGTCTCCGCTGTATACCATTCAGAAGGGGGGCCTGTTCCATTGACAGTCATGGCAGCTACCTGGAAGCTGTACTGGCTTCCTTTCTCAAGTCCTGTTAAAAACAGAAGATCAACCAAACCAGAAAAGAAAAAAAAAAAAAAAATTAGTATGATCACAATTCCAATGTTTTCAACAGAATTAGAACAAAATTAGCAGTTGCAGTCTCTTTGCTATGTGTGGCAGCGTAAATGAAGAGCAGCATAATAACATATTCCTACTATGGGTAGGTTCCTACACAGATATTCCATTTACAAGTGGTCCTGCAGTCACCCTAACTTTCTGTTACTGTTGCTTGTTAGTACCCATCTTTATCTCATAAATTAAATTCCAGACCATGTGTGCATATTGTAAAGGATTCTGACCACCAAACTTCCCATAAGGTCTTGGGCAGGGGAGGAAACTTGGGTCTGATGCCAAAAGGCAGTTAATTAGTCAATAGTGACAGACATACCTCTTAAAAAAAGCTTAATACTTCAAAATGTGATTTTTTTTTTTTAGTCTCATCATTCCCACTGGATGTACTTATGCATGTAAGGACTACCTCACACCCAAATGTGAGACAATTAGGAGCTAATTTAATAACAAATTAGTTAATTCATTGATAATTAGCGATACAACTAAGTTGCTGATTGTATGCTTTACAGAGACAGCCTGCTGCTGCTAAAGTATGAAAAACCAGGGCCCTGGAAATACTCACTGCCATGTTAAGTGTTAAGCACAGGAGTGAATAATTTGTCGAGCTAAGGCCTGGGTTAGCAACCAATGTATATTCTGCTTTTCAATAAGCCTTTTGGCTTCAGAGTTCACTCTTCAAATAAAACAGAACCTTTGTCAAGTGTACATTTTGGAGCCAATGCGGGGGTTGGTTTTCTTTGTTTGTTTCTCATTTTTTGCTTTTCTCTGGCTAAAGCAGTTAGACAACTATTATAGCGTTGCTTTGAAGTGTGTTGCAACTCTTTTTTAGCCCCCATAACAGCAATATATGTTGATCGTTGTGTTTAGTCTATACTGACCAGGAGCTACAAGAAAAAAATAAAACTGTTGCATTTAATTGCAAACATTCTCCAGGGAAAAATGCCCAAAATTAAAAACAGCAGTTTAAAATTTAGCTGACATTGGAACCTACAATAACACTGATAGCAGCCATTTAAAATCCTTGTTGTAGCTCTGAATTACTTTGCCGCTGCAGATGTCCTCATTATCCTGCAAAACACCTGCCTATTAAACAGAGGATTATGGCGAGATACAAAGTATCTATATGTGAATATTTACATCATCCATTTAAAATAACCGGCTTCCTTGGAACTCATACTATATGCAAGTATGCACTAATAATAAGTTCTGGATCCTTTTAAAATGCATATTTAAATATGTATTTCTACCAACTTCCTGAGACAAAGTATGTAACTTTTTATTGTATTTTGACATGGAGAATGTGTTTAGTAATTAGCAAACCTGGCTTCCACCCCCACAAGCCTACTGCATAGGAGGCAGGTGGACGTGATGGGGAAGGGGAGTTCAGAGACTGGGAATTCCTTGCCCAACACTAATCACAACTCTGCCGGGAGTCCACGTCAATGTACTTGGAGGAAAACATGAGGTCAGGTCTTAAGAATTGACCTCTGAAGATCTATTTATTATACCTCTGCCTAGCAGGGGCAAGTGGATACCTGAACCACTAGTCTGAAAGGACCTCAACCAAATGGCCATGCTGGCACTTTAGTGTGAAGGTTGTAGGGGAGAATTTCTTCTCTACATTTGCTCCTTAGGAAGATACCCAGCACCTAGCCTTCTAAATCCTGGCTGGATGCCCATATTTGACTGGCAGTTCGTCAGTACAGTCAAGACTTCAAAAATAGTCTTTTTTTCTCTGAACTGCCGTGAATTTTCTGAGGTTAAGGTAGCTCTAATATATTTATATTAGTATACCCAATGATGTGCAAATTTACATAGGGATCTCTATCAGTCATGGTGATGGTATCAATGGGCTCGATGGTGGAACCAGGTGATAAACTGCTTTTGTAATGTAGCTTTGACTATATTACCCACATTATGCCCACTAATCTACCACCACCAGGACTACTTCTAACATTTCTGATCTCTTTTTCATGGCCACCAAGACTGTTTTTTTAAGCTGCCTTAACAAAAATGGTGCAAAACTGCACATTTTACCATTGCCCCAAAAAGCCTTATTAGTTCTGCAGCTCTAAGAAAAACAAGCTGTTTATGTGGATTATGGGACTAAAAACATGAGGAAGAACCTCTCACATTAGTCAGGGTTGCATGATTATATTTTAATAATGTAAAATACCACTTGTTCCTTTTTGTCTTTTCTCTCACTCAAACATTTTTCTGGGACCTAGTTCCCACCAAAACAATACATTGAATTATTTGTCCCTTGGAGGCATCCTTTCATGAAAGAGAGTTACTTTCAGATTTCACAAATAATACTATTTTATTTCAAAGTAAATATTGGAAAAGCCATTTTAGGGGACATGAGGAGAAATCCTAGCCCTATTGCACTTGAGACAAAAGTACCATTGACTCAGAGGGGACTTGGTGGCAACCTATAAGTATATCAAGGGCATACATCAGGGCCTGGGGGAGGATCTGTTCACCAAGGCCCCCCACAGGAGGACAAGAAATAATGGGCTCAAGCTGATTGAGGATCACTTCAGGCTAGACATAAGGAAAAACTTCTTTACAATTCAAGTGCCAAGGGTTTGGAACAGGCTCCCCCCAGAAGTGGCACAGTCACCCACCTTGGTGATCTTCAAAAAGCGTCTTGATGCCCATCTTGCTTGGATCATCTGATCCCAGCAGTCTTTCCTGCCCACGTGCAGGGGTGCTGGACCCGATGACCTTTAAGGTCCCTTCCAGCCCTTAACAACTATGAAACTATGACTTTAATGAAGCCTGGCGTCACCATTATTACCATATTTACATGTAAGCCACATGTGCTTTTTTCCTCATAGCTCTCTAAAAATGGGGTGCTTGTCTTAAGCAGGGAAGCTTATTTCTGCTCTGACATGAAAGCATGGGAATGATGCAATGGCTGCCAGGGGCTGTGTTTCTTTCCTGTCTCTCCTGGCCAGCAAACAACAGGGGCAGAGCCCACCCTTCAGAGTCAGAGCTAAAGCTCTAACCCTCTAAGGGATGCTGCTAATTGGCAGAACACCCAAAAGCTGCTGCTAATTTAGCATCAGCTGGAGAGCGTTAAAACATTAGCTGCTGCCTGAGCACTCAGGGGAGGACAAGTGTATTGTAGAGAAGGCTCTGCTCCTACTCCATGCTGCCAGGTTTCAGCCACGACTATTTTTTTTTTTTCATTCTGCCTTCTCAAAATGACAACAGCCTTATTAGGGGGCATGTGGTATGTGAGAGAATACAGCACTTAATTGTCTTATGAATAAATCTTGTACAAGGAGAAAATACAATGTCCTCTACAGTAATCTAGTTGAAATGATTGTTTTGTACTTTTCTGCGGTGCTGACCTTGGTGCTTACAATTAATGTGGCAATTTAATTGAATTAATTTCCTATTGGAGTTTCTATGGGAGGAAGCAAAATATTTCCCTCTAATATACTGGAAGAAAAGTTTGGAAAATAGATGTTTGACAGATGCCTCTGTAGCAAGAGGAAAGATGTGTTATTGACTCAGCGTTCAGAAAAAGGCAACTGGGCAAAAGCTACTGAACAAAAGGAGTTTGGTTTCAAATTCTTTAAAATGATGAAATACAGGTGACAAACATATGATAAAGGTATTAAGGGGATAAGGTATAATAATAATAATAATAATAATAATATTCGTACAGTTCGTACAGCCCAATAAATGTCACCTGCCAGAAAAGAAATCAATGTTCTCTTGAACTCAAAGTATATTTTATTCCCAAAGCATTTAAGTCATCAAAACCTTGCAAGGCTATACCATGTGAACACTGACCTGTGAACAAATACCAGAGGTTGTTTGGCTCCAGCGTTTCAATCTCACCCCTGCGGTTAGTCTTTCTGTGTCGGATTTTATAGGCAGTAATAAATCCATTTTGAGTACCTGATGGTGGAGGTAGCCAACTAACTTTGATGCTCTGTAAAACAGGAGATGTTAATGCTGAAATGTTTGCAAAGCAATGACAGAAATAGAGCAACAACAAATTGAAGCACAAGAAAGAAAGTTATTTTTGGTGGAAGGAAGGGATTTGGGGAGAAGCGTAAAACTTGTTTTATAATTACAATGATTAATTTTAATTAACTATTATTTTTAGAACACACAAGCCTAATTTAAAACTGGCACCAAGCCAGTCTGGGAAAGGTTCAAACAGTAATATAAATAAACCTAGCTACTGACTGGTAAACTTAAGTACATAGATGGTTGAAGGATTTCTAAATAAACAGTGTTTCCCTTGCTTGTAATGCTGTCTCTGTGTCAGGGGTGTGTCGTTTCCACGAGGGTATCTTAGCTCTGTGTGTTATTATCACAGTTCTCATCTTTGGACTTACAATGTGTTGTGGCTCATCTTCACTTTGTGGTGAAGTTCAGTTACTAAGCCACCCGTATTAGCTGTCTAAATATTTGACAGATTCTTTTCTCATTCTCAGTACAGTTTTCCATCAGTTCCCCAGACTTTAGCAGAGTCATTCCTAATTTATACCACTATGAACTCCAAAATCAGTCCCTTTGGCAATAAGCTTATTGATGATTCTGACATAGTGCTTTAGCCGAATTGTTTAGTAAAATCAATAGCAAGAAGATTAATCAAGATATGCATGCACATCTTTTCAAAAGCAATCAGGGCTCATGGACAGAGGTGATATCTTTTATTGGACCAAGAAGATTTTTGCAAAAATTATTCTTTAATTAAAAAATATTTCATTCAATTTAATATTCATATTTAATTCAAAAGTTATTTGTTATTATTTTACTTTTTTCATCATTCTTATTTTTTCAGGGAAGTGAGTATTGGCTTTGTTCCTCTCAATTGTTCTGTGTCTTGCTTGAGACATTTAAAGGCAGCCCATTTTCAAAGGTTCTATCTATCTATCTATCTATCTATCTATCTATCTATCTATCTATCTCATTGTCTTAAAAAATAGATTCCCTTTTAGGTGTGTCAGATTGGAAACCTCAAAAGCATTAGTCACTTTTGCAAATGTTATGAGAAAACACTTTGCCCATAGTGTTATAAACTGATACACTGAAAAAACCAAGAGGGCTCAATCTTAGTAACAGGTAAAATCTGAGATACCACTTATAAGTGAGCTGATGGTGTTCATTAACATCTCTTCCCTAGGATTGCAACTTGAGCATTAACTGCATTTGTAAACTCTAATCCTTCAAATCTCTTTGATATAAGGGGAACATGAAGACAGTCAAGCCCTTATGGTACAGAGCCCTAAACCTTTATTATATACCAAGGCTATCCAACTTCTAAGCAGCTGAAGGTTGCATGCCTCACAGGCCATGCACCGGTGAAGGCCACACACCATGCATTGGGGACCAGAGGCCTCTGAGCTGCACACCACGTGGATGCTCTGCCACACTTCACGTGGCTGGCCTCACCTTCAGCTCCACACACCATGCCACATCGGTGGCTACAAAAAGTGGAAGCTGGAGTAGGGAGGGGGAGCCTGGAGAGTCCAGCAGCTGAGCAGCAGCCCAGGAGCCACCACCTGGACAGCTCTGTGCTCTACCATCTTTCATACACCTACACTTAAAGCTTTTGAACACAGGGTAAAGTCAACCATATCGTAATGGATGTACTGTGACCACGCTCAATGTATTATCATGATTCAGTTGCTTAGTCCATACATAAATACAAATTATAGCATATATCAAATTAATTAAAGGAACATGCTTATATATTGCTTATTTTATGCACATCCATTGTATGCTGATTCCTTGTCACAGTCAAATATACCTCAAAATCAGTATTTTACTTTTTCAGTGCTGAAGGATATAATGTAGTATTGTGGTAAAACAAACTTCAATTTTCAATTCAAATAATGGGGGGTTTTTAACACTGATTTATTATCCATGGTTGTAAAAAATGAAGATATGTAAAATTTTCTAGAATGATGCAGTTGCTTACGAAGTGTTTTAACGCAAACACTATAAACATGGTGTGCTAGACTGGAGAACCTCTCTGTATACAATGTAGGAACTCTAATGGATAGTACAGTGTTGTCAACTCTCACACCTTCTCTACAGCTAGGGCTTGCTCTGGGTAGGGCTGGTTGAGCTAACTGAGGGGTGGAGCTAGGATAGACAGCCTTATAAAAAGGCAGCCACATGATCCACGAGAGCAGTGAACAGACGGCATCAAACAGAGAGGGGTTTTGCCTAGGGTTCACCCAAGGCGGGAAACAGGAAGCAGGAGACTCTGTGTGTGTGTGTGTGTGTGTGTGTGTGTGTGTGTGTGTACACACCCACGTGTCCAAGGGCTCAGGTGTGGATGTTTGTGGTATGTCCCCCCACTCCCATCTTTTTTTTCCTCCTTACAGAATAGGTGATCTCTAAGGAGCAGAGGAGGCAGAAATGGAGCCTGGGTCAGCTGATGTGACCTGCATGGGATGTGCCATGTTCATGTTCCTCCCAGAGGGTCAGAAACACTTCTATACCAAGTGTAAGCTGGTGTCTGCCCTGGAGGAGAAGATTCAAAGGCTGGAACCACAGGTATTCATGTGACACTGAATCAGGGAACAGGAAGATTACTTGGACAAGAGGTATGAGAGGCCAAAGGGCAATGAGAAGTGGCAGCATGTGACAACTCAAAGAAGGAAAGGCCCCAGAATTGAAGAAGAGTGGATTGAAGGCAGTATCACTTTCAAGCACTGTGATGGAACTGCTGAGAAAAAGGTAGAGAAGAGGACATCTCTAGCAAGTAGAGTAAAAGGGAAGCAAGTAGGTCAATATGCAAAGCATGTCTGCTGCATGCATACAAATGCAAAAAGCATGGGGAATAAACAAGATGAGCAGGAAGCTGTGGCCTGTGAAAAGAACTATGATCTGGCTGGTATCACAGACTTGGTGGGACAGCTTTTCTAACTGGAACAACAATATTGAGGGTTACAATGTGTTTTGGAGGGGCAGGGTTTGGAGAAAAGGTGGTGGTGTTGCCTTGTGTGTCAAAAACACATACACTTGTTCCCTGGTTCAGGAGAAGGAAGACAGCAAAGCAGAAAGCATTTGGGTGAAGACAAAGGTGAAAGATACAGCACTGATACATTGGTGAGGATTTATTATAGGCCAGCAAATCAGGAAAAGGAGGTGGATGAGGCAGTCTTCAAGCAGGTGACATAACTATCCAAACCCTATGGGATGTTACTGATGGGAGATTTTAATTTTCCAGACACTTGCTGGAAGAACAATGCAGCCAAAAATAAAATGTTAACCCAGTTCCTAACTTGTGTGGAGGATACAATTAGGGGGCCATCTATCTTGAATCTTGACCAAAAGGAAGAACTGGCTGAGGATGTAAGGGTGATACTGTAACTTGGGAAGAAACAAACACAATATGATAGAATTCCAGATCCTGAGACAGGGAAAGCAGAAAGTCAGCAAAATTAGGATGCCAGATTTAAAAAAAATCTGGATTTCATCTGACTCAAGGAGTTAGGCGTGGTGTCATGGGAAGATAGATTGAAAAGGAAGATAGAAAAAGGTGCCAGAATGGCTGGGAGCTTCTAAAGGGCACAGTATAGGAAGCCCAACAAGAAACTGTGCCTACACAGTGAAACTAGAAGAAGAATGGCATGAGACGAAATGTGGCTGCATAAGGAACTGAAATGCCTCAAATGCAAAAGAAAAGCTCACAGGCAATGGAAGAATGGACAGATCACCAAGCAAGCGTACTAGGAAACAGCACAAACCTGCAGGGACAAAATCAGGAAGGCAAAGATAAAGAATGAGCTGCACCTGGCAAAGGAGTCTAATGACAACAATAACTGGTTCTATAAATATGTTGGCAAGAAAAGTAGGACCAAGGAAGCTGTGGGTCCTCTGTTAATAGGCCAGGGGGAACTCCTAACAGAAGATGCAAAGAAGGCAGAGGTACTCAACAGCTACTTTGCCTCAGTCTTCACCAAAAAAATAAGCTGCAGTCAAGCATCTAATAAGGATTATCTGGATAAGAAAGCAGGAAAGTTGAGGGATGAGGTAGCAAAAGGAACAGTCCAAGAACTTTTATCAGGTCTAAATGAATTCCAGTTAGCAGGGCTGAATAAACTTCATCCCATGGTACTGAAGGAACTGGCAGAGAAGATCTGAGCCCTTGACAATGATCTTCATGAAGATGTGGGAAACAGGCTAGGTTCCAGAGGACTGGAAAAGAGCCATCATAGTGCCTCTCTTTAAAAAAGGCAAAAAAGGAGGAGCTGGGGAACTAGAGACCAGTTTGCCTGACCTCAATGCCTGGGAAGTTACAGGAGCATATCCAAAGAAAAGCTGTTTGCAAGCATCTGGAGGAGGAAAGGCTGATCACAAGTAGCCATCATGGATTTATGAAAAACAAATCATGTCAAACAAAACTTGATCTCCTTCTTTGACAAAGTAAATATTTGGGTGGATAAAAGGAATACTTTGAATATAGTGTATCTGGATTTCTGCAAGGCTTTTGACAAGGTCCTACATGATCTTCTCATAAACAAATTGGTGAAATGTGGGCTGGACAAACCTACTACAAGGTAGAACAACTGGCTCAATAGCTACAAGCAAAGGATAATTATTAATGGGTCCATGTCAGAATGGCAGGAGGTTTCAAGTGGAGTCCCACAGGCATCTGCCCTGGGCCTGGTGCTCTTCACCCCAACATGTTTATTAATTACTTGGATGGCTGGCATAGAAAGCTTCTTGAGCAGGGCTGCAGATGACACAAAACTGGGAAGGACTGCAACCACATTGGAGGATGGAACCACAATTCAGCAGAATCTCAACAACTTGGAAAGTTGGGCTAGAGCTAACAGGATGAAGTTTGATGCTAACAAATGCAAGGTGCTACATCTCGCTAGGAATAATCAAAAACACAAATATAAAATGGGTGACACTTGGCTAGATGGCAGCACTATGGAAAAGGATTTAGGAGACTTGGTA